TCCTCAGTAAAATACAGCAAATCATCAAAAAGATTATACATGATGCATAATTGGGATTCATCCCAGGAATACAGGGATAGTTCAATATATGCAAATGCACAAATGCAGTACAACACAGTAATAGATCTCAAACCAAAAATCACGTGATCAGCTAAACAAATGCAGAAAAAGCTTTTGACCAAGGGAAACATTCATTTTTGTTAAAAGCCCCACAGAAAATCGGATTAGATGTCTGTAACTCATCCTGATAAAAGCCATGTATAAGAAATCAACAGTCAGCATCATATTAAATGGGAAATCACTGAAGACCTTCACTTTAGATCAGGAAAAATACAAAAATGACTATTGTCTCCACTCCTATTCAATATAGTTCTAGAAACATTAGCCAAAAATTAGACAAGAAAGACAAATGAAAGTAATGAGAATTAGGGGAAAAAAACAAATGAAATTTTGATTATTTGCAGATGACATGATACTCTACATAGAGAACTCCAAAAGATCTACCAAGAGGCTTGTAGATTTTGTCACCAAATTCAGCAATGTAGTAGGGTATGAAGTGAACATATTTGTACACATACAATGAACACATTGAGAGAGAAATTAGGGAAACCATGCCTTTCACAATCACATCCAAAAATGAAATACTTACAAAATAATCTCACAAAGGTAGTAAAGGATTTAAACAGTGAAAATTATAACACTCTGAGAAAAGAGATTGAAGATTAGAAAATGTAAAGTTACTTCATGCTCCTGGAAGAGAAGAATCAAAATTATGCAAATGGCCATAATCCCCAAATCATTATATAGAGTCAATGCAATCCCAATTAAAATAACATTAATACACCCCACAGAGCTAGGGAAATCTTTCTTCAAATTATGTGGAAATAGAAGAGACCCAGAATGTCAAAAGCATTAAGAGGAATCAAAATAAAGGCAGGAGCTATCACAAGCCTTTATCTGAAATTATACTATGAAGCTACTGTGATAAAATCACGATGGCACTAGCATAGAGACAGACTTGAGGATAAATGGAACAGATTACAAGATGCAAAAACAACTGCAAACACACTCAATCAACTTATCATTGATGAAGGGACCAAACATGTTCACTTGAAGGAAGATAGCTTCTTTAATAAATGGTGCTAGAAACACAGATTTCCACCTGCT